GTATAGTATGTATATATTTTAGTTAATAGAAGCGAAGATGCGCGTCCCCACACATAAATGAGAAGGTAAGGCGATCTTGGGAACAATGGTTCCTGAGATCGCCTCATCTTCTCATATGGTATAGTGTATATTAGATTATAGTATATAGTATAGAATATTCTATATAGTACCTTTATATATCAATCGACAGTAAAATTGCCAAAACCACCGCTTATTTTTTCAGCTTTTGAAGAGCCGCCACTACTCGACACCTCACGTCCCCCACCGAGGAATAAGGTCAAACTACCTCTGTCTCAGAAGCTGCCGCCTCAGTCCCCCACACATCTGGAAAGCCTGGCCCAGTCCAGTCTCCGAAGCATTTACGAGAGCGTTGGTGAAAACGAAGATGCCCCCGTGCCCTCTGTCACTCCGGTCTCCCCGGCCTACCGTCTCAGCAGCCTGCTCTCTATGCAGCGGCTTTCGGTTAATGCAGACATCCAGAGTCCCCCCATGTCCGACAGCATGTGTATGATCGTGTCTAATAACAATTCTGCTCGCGCCTCCATAGAGCACTCGCCCTGCTGGGTAGCCAAAAACAGTAACCGTAACAGAACCCTCCTTCGGCCGCAGGCGGTGGCCGCCTTGGACAGCGCAGATTTCGATCCCTGTTCCCTCAACTCCAACTCCCTAACTATGCGACCAAGAGGAGTAAATCTGATAACTAACTGGAGGGAGTCCGCCCTGAGTTTTCAGAATCTGGAAGCCGATGATGAGCCGGAGGACAGCGAAGCAAATTACCATGAGAAAGAAAAGGAGGCCCTGTTGCCACCCTCCCTAGAAGACCAAGTATTTTCCTTGCCAAACACTGCATCACCTCACATGGGAACAGCATAAGACTCCGATTGACATGAACGAATCAGAGAAACAAAACAATGCGCTAGCATATATGTATGTATATTTTTTGATTACGTGTAATTCGTTTGTTGACCAGTAAAAATATATGAAGTTACACAAGGTGACAGCTGTTCCAGGAACGTAAACAAAGTAGGGTGAGCAGTAAATTGCCTATCTCACGGAACGTCCACCGAAACTGGGAAATGTGTTTTCGATTCGAACAAATTACCCAAGTAGGGTTGTAGTATTGACTATCACACAGCCTAATTTCAAAATATTTTAGTCACGTTAGCTTGCCGGCTTTTAAACGAGCATCTTCATCACCATCTGTAAAAATTATATTCTGCAACATGGCAACTTAAGTGGTGTGCACTTATCTCGTTTCTTTCATTTCCCTTAAAAATTCAAATATATTCTTAAGGAACTATGCACAAGAATACCCTCTCCCTTGCACTTGTGTGGCAGAAACCTACGCCCTGTTCAAAGTTTGTACTTGAAGAAAGAGCATTTTTAGCTTTAATTAATTGCTTAATTGCCGAATAATTTCGAATCCCACTGGCTGTTACACTTGAATTCAAGGTTTCAAAACTCTCAGCTGTTTAAATACTGTCCAAAGAAAACTTAGAAGTCCCCTCGGTGTAGGAAAGAAGCCACATACTTCTCATAGAATTTTAAAATGAATTTGGTCCAAGTTTTACAATTTATATGCAAAACTGAAGAAGAAGAAGAAGAAGAAGAGAATCTTGCCTTATCTACGAATAAACATCATAAATTTTCAGCGAAAAAACGGCTCCATTCGCGGAGGTTAAGTAATGAGTCATGTTAAGAGGTAAAAGGTCATGTAATACTCA